CCTGACTTAGATCAGCCCAGAGGTTGTTTCAGGGTTTGATCTGTGAGTTAGCCATGCCCTGACTTAGATCAGCCCAGAGGTTGTTTCAGGGTTCGATCTGTGAATTACCAGTGCCCTGACTTAGATCAGCCCAGAGGTTGTTTCAGGGTTTGATAAAATAAGAGATTTATACTTCAGGTATTTAAACTGAAATTATCAAAGATTCTTCACTCTTTGGGGTGCCTAGTCCTTCTCAAGTCATACCTACCGGGCTCTGATGGTAACAAATTGAAAGACTGGAAACAAGTCATCTAAGGAAATAAGTTTTTCTTCTCCTTTCCAGAAGGTGTGCACTTCCTGATCACAGAAAGGGGAAAATTAATACATTAAACAACCTTGAATGAATTCGTTTGAATCACCAAAAAAGCTCTATTTCACGCTTTTCAAAAATCGCGAATTTTTAACTTATTTYCTTCAAAATTCAAAATTCATAGTTTTACTGATTTTAACATTCTAACGTGATTTCCAGCTATGCATTTTCCAGCATTTCAAAAACGTTCAATGTGGTGTCGAACAACATCATTTTTCTAAAATATTTTACCTCGTTGATCTTCTCAAATGTTGACTTGAGCACTGCTAGTTTCTCCATTGGACTAAGCTTGGTACTGTACGAAAAAACATAAAAAACACGAATAAACGAGGGAAAAATAAAGAAAAAAGGAGCATATGTGCCAAAATAAAAAGAAAAGGCAAAATGAATACAGGATGGGAGGGATAAATAATGGGAAATAAAAGACGAAGGGAAGAGCGGAATAGAATAAGTAAAGAAATGAAAAGATTTAGAGAAGACGTGTACAATACAAGGTGCTTTATTTATACTATAGATTACGATGAGAAATGTTAAAGAAATARAAAACGCGCGCGCGTGCTGTGTGCAGTTATAAAGCACGCGGGGGTTAGTAGAACACGAGAGAAGCGTTAGGAGAAGTACGACGCGTAGCGTTTTACGCAACGTTGCTGAAGTAGAAAACCATCCTACTTCAGTAACATTGGCCCAATGTTGCACTGTGCACGTGCCTTTATTCTTCGTGCGCGCATCTCTACCTYAAAGGCTCGCGTTCTCAACAAGATGTCGTTTGCAGCTTTTTCACATCCTCGTCAGAATATCAAGGGTGTAGATAACAGGGTGCGCATGAGAAACCATAGGCAGCCTAAGCAAGTACTTTGAAAAGTACGTCTATTTTTGCGACTGGGTTGCCTGTGGAAAAACAAACTTGTTCGTGTCATCATCTTTCAGAGGTCGCGTCGCTTTGGCAAAATGCGCTTTGAGAGACAGAATGATGCAGGTGAACATATTACGGTAAACAAAGTAAGATAGTAAAGGATAACTTGAAGCCGTAAAAAACTAACCTCATTTGCTGAAGTGCTTCTATGGCCGTGACGTAATGGTGAGCCTCGCGATTCTCTCCCATTATCTGAGAAAAATGATGTAAAACACGTAAACATAGAGCTAGGCACACAGACTAACAGACGAATAAATAAATAAACAAACAATAAATGAACAAACTAATTAAAAGATTGAACCAAAGAAAAAACAACAAACAAACAAACAAACAAAATCCAGAATCGATCTAACAAAGAAACAAAACAAAAAAATACGAAAGGAACAAACGAAAGAACGAACAAACGAACGAACAAACGAACGAACAAACGAACGAACGAAGTCTATTGCTCATAAATTAATAGCTATATTACCTCGTCATTATAATCATTAGTCTCGTCCTCGGTTGCAAGCCAGAACTGTCTACAAAGAGAGACAGACAGACAGACACAGTCAAAATGAAAGCTCTTATTATTACCAGGAAAAAATACATCAATATGGTGCTTATCACTGCATCAAAACAAAAATTTCAAAGATTTTTTGAAAATAGGAAATTTTCTCCCTTTCCTTTGGAGGTTTAGTTTAGTTGGAGTGTCCACTCCTCGCTATTTGAAAAAAAAGTTCCAAAATTTCCGGGAAATAGTGATTTATTAAGGCCCCGTCCATACGTATCCGGAAATTTTTGTATCCGCAAATTATTTTTTGCGGATACGAAAATGTTTGCGTCCACACGCAGCGTATTCGAATCGTTTTCACCGTCCACACGTATCCGTTTTCGTAAAATTTGGGGATACGGACACAAAAATTTGCGGACACGTGTGGACGCAACCCGTATCCGTAAAAAAAATTTGCGGATACAAAAGTTTTCGATATTTCGTGAACTGAGACATTTCAACGGCTTAATGTGAAATTGTTTTTTTGACGCTAGTCAAGAATATAAAAGGTACCGACTGATTATTTTTGATTGACGGCAACGAGCGAAACCAATCAGCGTGCAGCTTGTAACTACCAAGTTCGCAGTAACAAATACATTTAGTGTAATATATGTATACTGGAAAAACAAGCATGGGCTCCCTGTGGTGAATCACACGTTAAATCTGATTTCTTCTGCTCTGTTTTACTGTGCTTTGCATTACTCTTTCCCGTAACCGAACACTTACCTTTTGACCCCGACGTAGGTCATCAAGGCAAGATCCGACCTCCAGTTCAACTGTAATAACCTCTCCCAATAGACGCTGTCAGCGCGCTCGTTGTGGAGGGCGTAGAGGGTAAACAATGGAGGGTATAGCAAAGGAAGGATAATGGGATGAAGTAAGGCACTGCTTGATGTAGAGATCTCAGTGTGGATGTTGGACACACCGCCAAAAGAGTCTTTATCGAGGTGTACGTATTCCTCGTTTGGTAGGTCGACGAAAAGAAGGCTAGTGAGGAAAAAAAAAGAAGGATCAATCAAAGAATAGATAGTTCAAAAAGAAAAAAAGAATAAAGAATAAATGAATGAAATAACGGTTGGTTGGATGGGTGGATGGAAGGAGGTAGGTAGGGAGGGATAGATGGAGGGAGGGAGGGAAGGAAAGAGGGAAGGAAAGAGGGAGGGAAGGAAAGAGGGAGGGAGGGAAAGAGGGAGGGAGGGATGCATGGAAGGAGGGCGGGAGAGAGAGACGGATGGATGGAGAAATAAATGAGAATCAATGTTTTATCCATAATGAATACGATAAAATTTATGCCTCGAAAAAATGATCTCATGAAAGGCTAATTGCTTTAACTAAGCAAACGAGATTGCATACTATAGAGTGTGTGTATGATAGACTTAGCCTCTAGTACCGCATGAGGTAATAATCGTCCATGGGTACCCATACCAACATAGGTAGCCCTGTACATGTCTACAAGATTCATACTCACAAACTCACCGTATAATATTATAGAGTCTGTGTATGATA